TAGCAGCGTGTCCTAGACCGGTTTCACCACAGAATCCAGGATCAGTTTGCCCGGGGAGCCGGTGTTGTGGGGCAGCGCCTCAGAAACAGTGCTGGTACTTGTGAGCAGGCACGCCAAGACGCAAGCTCGCCCTCAGCGTTCAGAGTGAACGTCAGCAGGACGTTGGTGAAAGTGGCCAAGTAAGGAATTCTGAGATTCTAAAAAGCTGGCAAAGACCCAGAACCAGCCCTTTTGGAGATCTGGAAACTGGCCCGAGGCTGGAAACCCATGGAGCACTTATTCCGGGAAAATAACCGAATCTTGCTAAGACAGCAGCTCTAGGGTGTTTCGCTTTAGCCATTTCCTGTTGCTGAAACAGCCTTGGAGACCACGCTCCTGCTGGGTGGCACCCGGCCCAGCCCGGGCCTCATTCCGGAGACTGTCGGGTCTGGGGGTGCGGGCGGGGGAGGGCTGGGAGTGACTGCTTACAGGTCCAGGGCTACCTTTTAAGGTGATGAAAATTTCTGGGGTCACACAACATTAGGGTCACACAACATTGTGTGTGAATTTTGTGATTTGTTAATTCATGGATTTACACTGTAAAACAGCAATTTCTGTACGTAGGTTGTATCTCACTTAAAACATTATTTAAAGCCCTCCCTGGTGGCGCAGCGGGTTAAAGCGCAGCACTGAGACTCTAAAGCCACTTCTGTATGAGTTCGATCCCCGCCTGCCCTGGAGGTGACCACATGGAGCGGCAGACCTCTCCTGGCCCACCTGCTGCTCCCCTCAGCAGTGCACTTCATTGATCTGCCTGTTCTGCTCCCCACTCTGTCTCTGGTGAAGCCTTTCATCGCCCTGAGCCTCTGGCCTGTACCCCAGTTCTGTATGCACAAATAAATAAAAATAAATCTTTTAAAAAAAAACCAAGCAGGCCAGTGTGATAGTCAATTTCTTGGGTCAGCTTGACTGGGTCACGGGCCGTCTGGTTGAACGTGGATTTCCGCATGTGTCGTGAGGGGTTTCCACAAGGTCAGCTCCGTGGTCTCCGTTACGCACCCTCCCCGCTGGGGGCTTGAACGGGAAAGGGCGGAGGACTGATGCCTGATCCTTCACAGAGAGACCCTCCTCTCTTGCTCCCGGGGCTCCAGGCTCTAGAATCTCCCCCAGTAAGAGGCTTGCAGGCCCCCCAGCGGCACCCTGGCCTCCCTGGGTCTCCAGCTCATGGAGGCAGCTGAGACTTCTCGGACTCCACCATGGCATGAGCCGGAACCTAGAGCCACCGATGCAGAGAAACCCAGGTAGATGCGGTGTAGACACACAGGTGTAGACACACAGGTGTAGACACACACCGACCCGACGAGTTCTGTTTTCCTGGAGGACCCTCAGGCAGGACAAAAATCAAAAATAAAAACACGAGCGAAACCATGTATGTTTCCCCAGGCCCCTTGCCCAGCATCGCAGGGCGAGTCCTGCGGTCATCTGTCCTGCATGTCCTCTGCCAGTCCCCGCGCTGCATGGCAGGAGCCGAGACTCAGCACCGGCGCTGGGCAGGGGAGCCGAGCTCAGGTGGGGCTGAGAGCGGGTCTCTGTGGGCAGTGAGGAGCTTTTCAGGGGCGGGCGGGCTGGACCAGAGGGTTAGGGACGTTTCAGGCGAGGACACTTGGCGGGTGTGGCCGGAGGACCTGAGGAGGCCTTCCAGGAGGGTGCAGGTGGCGTGGCCGGGGGCCAGGCAGCTGGGCGGCCCCGGGAGGACATCAGACGTGTGACTTAATGTGTGACCAGGTGACGTGGCCTCGAGGGTATTGGTAAAACTCACATCTCGACAGAGAGCAGGGTGTGTTCATTAAAATGCGGTTGTTCCAGGCCTGTACTTGTTTTGGGGTACGTGTTGGTGAGGGCCCCCTCGATGTGTGGCAGAAGTCACGGCAGCAGGGTTTCCGACTCCTCAGTGACGGTCTCCGCGGGTGGCTGCATAGTTAGGTACAGGACCTGGCCAGTCATTCAGAGCCGTTTGCTGGTGACTTGGCGAGGGGCGTGCAAAGGCAGCGTGGGGGTGGGAGCGGCCGGTGCCAGCCTGCGGGGGCGCGGGAAAGACTCCCCTTGTCTTCTTCCTGCTCGCTTACGTTCTCTGCGGAGGGCGGCCGTTCTGCGGGGCTGTCACCTCGTAAAGAATGTGTTGAATGCGCTTCGCAGGATGCCTGAGAATCGAAGTCTTAGCTCAGCGCTGACCTGCCGTGTTAGTGTTTGCAGGCGGCTGGGAGACGGCTCCAGCGGGCGCTGCCTCGCTCTCGGGGGGGGCAGCCGTCCAGCAGCCTCCCCGAGGAGCCAGCGGGCGGCCAGTGGCTCTGCGGACCTGCGTGGGGAGTGACCGGGCCGTCCTGGAGAGCTGGTCCCCAGGGCTCCCTCCACGCCAGGTGGCGTTTCACAGCACAGGTCAGACATGGGCCCGGCACACGGCCCGCTCTGCTAGCCCACTGGGCTGACCCCGCTGGCCGGGGCCTCTGTGGCCCCCTGCCGAGTCAGCGGGGACACCCTGAGGTTTCCCTGGGATGGGGGGTTTGCCGCGGGTGTGTGACCCCGGTGCACCCCCTGTGTGGGTGGGCACGTCTGTGCTGGGTGACCTGTGGGCAGGGAAACGGGGCAGCTGAGACTGACCCCGGGTGCTGGGCGAGTATCCGCCAGGAGCCTCCCTCCTCCATAGCAGTGACCCCGGGAGCTAAGCATTTCTCTTTCCGCTGTGGAGAAGATGAAATCGAAGCTGAGAAAATGAGGAACTTGCAGCTTCTAAGCAGTAGAGCTGAGACGTAAACTCGCTGGGGTTTCAGCTCAAACACTCCCGTTTTTTCTTCTGACCCTGATCCTTTACGTCTATGAAATCTCTCTTCACGAATTGCTTTCCTTTCTACCGTGCATTTATTGGGGATGGAGCAGGGACCAGAATATTTTTATTGTTCCGAGTAGGACCCCCTGCCCGCTTTCTGCCTAAGTGCATGTGGTCACCCTCCACCCGTTTGTTGAATGAATCAATGATCAGTCCTAATGCATCAGCTTTAAAAATGCTACCTTGCTGCTTTTGCCGTAATAACCCTACACGGGCAGCTAGACTGTGAGGGTCCCAGTGTGCAGGACATGTGTGTCTCGCCCCTGTGGGGAGGACGCTCAGTCTGAGTCAGACCTTGCATTTAGGTGAGCGCTAGCCTCCGTGTGTGCCGTGGGTGTCTGCGTTTATTCCTTTTACCTGAAGCTTTCCCCAGCTGAGTCGTAACCCGCATGTCCACACCCACACCCGAGTCCCGGTCCTATCTTCCTGCTAGATTCATTGTTTTGTCTTTAAATGCTGTGTTTTTTAAATCCCTTTTTTTGGCAGTTTTCGACTCAAATTTTATTTTGTCTGGTATAAGTACAGACTTTCCTGTTTTTTTTTTTTTTTTTTTTTTTTACCACCATCTGTGTGAGTTATATTTTTCAATCCTTTTCCTTTTTGTGAATTATTAAGCATACTGAGCTTGTTGCAGAGAGAATGTAATTGGGCCTTCTAAAAAAATTCATTCAGTCACTTCTTTGTTTTGACGGGGAGTTTAATCTATTTTCAGTTAAGTAATTGTTGCTAGGGAAGCGCTTACTGTTGCTATTTCGTTAGCCTTCAAATTCTTATTTTTTTTGTGTGTGTGCTTGTTATCTTTTTTTGTGTTTTGTTGATTTTGCAAATTGATATGCTTTGATTCCTATCTTCTCTACTTTGTGTAACTTCTATAGGCTTTTGTGTGTGGTCACCCTGCAGCCTTCATAAAAGTTTATTATAGTTTTCTATTTTAAACTGCAAACAACTCAAGTTCAGTTACATACAAAACCACTACACTGACTTTCCTGTCGCTATGCTTTTACTACCATTGCTATCATTTTTATTAATATTTCTCTTGGCATTTTTCCCCTAAATTTTATTGATAATCTTGTTGAATTCTTTTTTAAAGATTTATTTATTTGTGCACACAGAACTGGGGTACAGGCCAGAGGTGCAGGGGCTGTGAGAGGCTTCACAAGAGACAGCGTGGGGAGCAGAACAGGCCGACTGACGAAGTCCACTGCTGAGGGGAGCAGCGGGGGGTCGGGAGAGGTCTGCTGCACCCTGGGACCACCTCGGGGCGGGGACCCAACTCTCACTGGCTTGCCGTGCTGCATCCTAATGCACTGCACCACCAGGGAGGGCCTGGTTATGGTTATTTTTTTTAATACATTTACCTTTAACTTCCAGAGCGCATTTAAAACGACTTACCACTACATGGCAGCACACTGTTCTGTGTTTGTCTTTGTCGTTACCTTCACCAGCAAGGTTCATAGTTTTTATTCCAGTGCGTGCCCTTTAGTTCCCTTGTTTCAACTTGCAGAAGCCCCGTTAGTATTCCTTGTCAGTCATTTCTAGTGGTGAAGAACTACCTGAACTTTTGTTTGCTGGGAAAGCATTACTTCATTGTGATTTGAAGGACAGTTTGCTGAGTATAGAATTCTTGGTTGGCAATCTTGTCTTTGTGGTACTCTGAGTATTTCTGCCACGTCCTCTGACCTTATGGTTTCTGCCACAGGAGCTGGACACGCGGAGTCTCCTTTGTGTGATAAGTTCTATCTCTGACGTCAGAGGACATGCGTTCTTCCTATTTCTTGCTGCTACCTACATGCCACGCTGGTTTCTCACTGAGCGTTCATCTGTGTGCCTGGGTGGCTCACTGTGGCCGAGTGGCAGTGTATTCTTGTCCTTGTGTGATTCCGGAGACCAAGGAAGGAAGATGTGAGATTCAGCATCTGCAGACTACCTTGAGTACTTACTGCATGGAAAGAGGGTGTGTCTGGGTCCTGTTTCTTTCAAAACAACACAAATTATTTTCCTTAGAGTTCTGGAAGATAGAAGTCCAAAGGGGTCTCCCATCTTTTTGGTGGATATGCTAATTCCTTCTGGAGACTCCAGGGAGAAGTGAGTCCTTGTCTTCCTTTGCTCCTAGGGAATCGCCCACCTTCCTTGGCCCATGGCCCCTTCTTCCAAGCCAGAGATCGTCAGTGGAGTTATTTTCCCGTCACATGCTTCCAGCTTGTCTGCTTTCCCTTTTCACGTGAAAAGCCCCTCTCGTTACATCAAACAATTCAGAAAAGGTCAACTGACGAGCAAACTGAATTCCATCTGCTACCTCAGCTGTTCTTTGCCAGGTAATATGACGTTCGTGGGGCCTGGGAATTAGAGCCTGGACATCTTTGGGAAACCATTATTTTGCTCACCATAGAGAGATGGTGTGAAACAGGGAAAAGATACGAGTTTGCAGTTCTCAGACTGTGGTGTGTGTTTGCAGCTAAGTAGAACAAAAGACAGAATATGAAAAGTATCGTGCAGGGTTGAGAGTAGGAGCCAGACTGCTTCAGGGATTAGGGATGCAGAGAGACTTTGTGGGGAGCTGCTGTGGGACCTTGGTCTGGGCAGGGCCGCGCTCCAGTTAGAGGGTCATGCGGGGTGTGACAAGGCCCCCAGCTCGCTGCCTTCGGGGGACAGCAGTTACAGGAATGAGAGTCGCGCCCTTCGATCATGGCGCCGGTGTTTCCGGTGGGCCCCGTCACAGCCAGCGTGGGCCATCGCCACCCAGCGCCCGGATGCCTGCAGGAGCCTGTCCCAGGGAGACTACTTCACTGAATAAGCCACAGGTCTGCATGTTGGTGCGATGTTGAGATTTAAGAAACTAGTTCTAATTCAGTTCTTTTCTTTTAGACCCTAGCTAGGACAAACACAAGTCAGAGGACTTCTGCTTATATACTCTGACGCGAGGCACAGAGCGGCTGTGCAGCTGTGCAGTCAGCCATCTCTGGGTTCTCGGCACACTGTGCCGACCCCCGGCCGCAGGGAGCACCTTCCGCAGAGCTGGCTGGACGCCTGGCCTGGGTCGCAGGTGATGTCCAAGCCAAGGCTGCTGATCAGAGAGGGAGGAGTGTCGGAGCCTGCCGCCAGCAGACAGGGTTTCTTCTGAGCCTCCGCTGCTGCCATTCCCGAAAGATCTGGGGCACACCAAGCATCTCCCAGGAGGGTCTGCTCCGCTCTGCAGCGTGAGAGCTGGTACATTGATTCAGGAATTGATGTCTGCAGTGCTGCCTCGAGAGGGAGGGGGAGAAAGAGAAAGGAACGGGGGGGAGAAACAAGAAAGAAAGAGGAAAGAAAAACTAAAATTACCTCTTTTGTTTGTGCCGAAAGAAAAACGCTCGGCTCGCAGAGAGGCGGTAGATAATTAGGGCCGTTACTGGTAGGAAAGTTCATCGGAAACGCCATTATTTTTCCAAGAACTTTGGAAGGAGAGAAATGATTCCTGTATCATCAGCTGCAACAGAATAGAAAATTTATCCCATCTTGAACCCCAATTGCAGGCTGATGACTTAGGCTTCTGAAAGGGCTTTTTTGTTTCCCCCCAAGTACAGAGCATTCCGGGCCCCTGGGGGACACAGGCGGAGCCTGAGGAACCGGAGCTGGCATTCCTGAGGGGCGCGCCCGGCGGTGCCAGAGTGGGGCTCAGCCCTGCGAGTGTCGCCAAGTCGGGGCTCTGGGGGCTAAATCCAGGAGCTGTCCAGGGCCGCGCCGAGCTCGCCCTTCAGCCGGCCTTTTGCAGGAAACCCCGGTCCTCCCTCTCTGCCGGAACTGGACGTTTCCGGGCGTCCCCTCGCGTCAGCACCCCGATATCTGAGAGGTCTCAGGTTCTACCTGGAGTGTGCGCCCTTGCGAGTCGGTGCCTGGATGGGCTGCGCCGCCCCCTCCCCTCGGCCCCCCCCATGACTGGGGAGCTGCTGACACCACCCTGCCTCAGTGTGCGCGTCTGTAGGGTCTTTGGGTTTTGCCAGGGATGGTAACCGGGTGCTGCAGTTATGCCCCCGAGAAGCAGCCTCGGCCGGCACTGGCGACATGCCCTCCTCAGTGCCGCCGCCGCCCGGTGCCCGGGCCGGCCTGAACCTCGGCCGGCCCGAGTGCGAGGGCCTGGGGTTCCCGTCAGACTTGCGTGGGGATGCCAGGGGAAGGAGCCGCCTCCGTCGACCCGCACAAGCGCCTTGTTCAGCGAGGGCTGGGTCGGGAGACCGTGTCTCCTTCGTTCGTTTACGCAACAGCTATGTGCGAGGCGTTGACTGAGCAGCCCCATCACACCAGGCCGCAGGGGACGAAGACGGGTTCAAGCCGTGCCCAGCCGTGCCCAGGTCGAGAGGAGCGCGTGTGGCCGGCGGGGCTGCCAGGCGGCTGCGAGTGGCCGGCGTGCCCAGCACCCACTGACCCAGGGCCTGGCTGGGTCCGACGATGGGTCGTGCTCCGGGCACGAGGGTGGAAACGCCGACAGGTGCTAGTTCCCAGGGGAGAGACAGACACGTCGGGGGTGTCAGCTGCCTCGCAGGTCTGCCCGGGGCCCCAAGCCACGGCCCGAGTGAGCGCCGCAGGCCGAGCCACGGACACGGAGGGTGAGCGGAGACGCTGCCGGTCACAACAGGATAGGACGTGCCTGTTCCACAGCATGACCCGCCGGCCCGATGGCGGGTCCGCTCGCTGGGCACAGAGCAGACACAGCACCCCTCCTCCTGCCTCCCTCTCGGACACACACAGGGGCTCCTCTACCACCCAGCACCCCACTGTCTCCCAGGACAAGGAGGAACGCCTCCCTCGCCCTAGAAGGCCGCCCGCCAGCGTCCCCGCTCACCAGTCCTCAGCGCCTACGAGCTTGCTGCTGTTTGTGCTTGGGATAACCTCTCGTGCTCTCCGGTTCTGTCCCTCCTGGGTCCCCCCGCCGCTCCCCACTTCTGACACAGCCGCACCCCCCTCCTCTGGGCTCAGCTTCGGTCCCCCTCTTCTACAGCCTTCCTTGCGCCCAGTGGCTCACTCCACCATTCGCTCCTTGTCCAGGTGCTGGCCTGTCTCCGGGCACAGGTGAGAACCGCGTGGCGTCAGCTTCCTGTTCTGGTTCCGGGCTCCAGGCAGGCAGGGGTGACGTCTGTCTGGGGCGTCTCGCCGTCTCCTGCACTCCACTGACGGTGCCCAGGAATAAGCTCCCAGTGGCACACGCGTGTGCACACACGCTCACACGCTCACGCACACACACGCGTGGGGCGCTTCATGACATGGCCTCAGGAGCGCCTCTATCCAGTGCCAGGCTTTCTTGCGCAAGGAGCCCTGGGTAGAGATGCAGACTCCCTTTTGTTCCGTTCAGACCTTTTCTATGAGCTGCGCCGTCTTCCCATGAAGGGGACATCGGTACCCGCCAGCGTCTCCCCTGGGGACGCCCACCCTGCCGCGCGGTGCTGACGGCCTGTGCCCAGAGCTGGGACCCGCGGCCCAGCGCCCTTCCTGGGGTCCCGGCAGCCCAGCTCTGCCGCGCGGGCCCGTGTTGACGAACAAGCCGGGGAGTGAGCAGCTGGTCATCCAAGCCCGCGGTGCCACGGGCTACCTGTCACCCACCTGCCCACGCGAGAGGGACTGCCACGTTCCCGAGACCTGGCGTCGTGGTCTGCTGTGGAAGGTCGTGGTGACGCCGTGGTTTTGTCTGCAGGGAGGCCCCGGGGCGCCTCTGTGTCACGTCACTGCCACCCGGCGTGGTGCCCAGCTCTGGCTGGCTTCGCGGCCTGCGTGTGAGACCCAGGTCTTCTCTCAGGCCCTCCAGGAGCCCTTGGTCTCGGTGTGGGTTGGCACACAGCTGCCAGCTGAGCCCACCCCACACCCCTCAGGGCCGCACCAGCGGAGGAGGAGACATGGAAGCCTCAATGGCTGCTTCAGCTGCCCTTGGGAGGCTCCTGGCAGCCGGCGGGCCCTTGATGCATCCGGGGAGGGCGCCGGTGAAAACGGGGAAACAGCAGCCGCCAGCAATGGCAGGGAGGCGGCTTCGGGGAGCTGCGGCGTCCAGGAACCCTCCCTGCCCTCACAGCCCTGGGGGCACTGAGGGCAGGACTGGCCTGCGCGGGGGCGGACAGGGCCCGGAGAAGCTCTCCAGCTCTCCCCGAGGGTGGCCACCCCCCCCCTGTGGCCCAGAGCCTGGCTGGGGCGCAGCTTCGCCTGAGGCTGCTCCCCCTTCTGCTAGCTGTGAAGGCGCAGGGGCCCCCGAGGGCTTTGTGGGGATGAGACCGGCTGGCGCGCCCCGATCCTGCTGCCCCTTGGCGGGGCTCCTAGCCCGGCCTGCTGGGCTGACTGGGAGGGCCGGACTCCCGGTGGGAGAGGACAGCTAACAGACAGCACTCCTGCGCTCCGGGCCCGGGACTTCCAGACTGGCCTCTGCTCCAGCCACCTCTGTGGGCGCTGCTGTCCCCAGAGGGCTCTTCCGCGGATTCCAGACCTCTTCCCCATCAGCCGCCTCTTTCCAAGCGTGGCTCGGAGTGGCCCAGCGTGGAGCCTCGCCTGTGTGTTACCCGGGCCGCCGGCCCGTGGCCCGTGGCCTGGGCCCTCTCCCACGGCCCTGCACGCTGAGGGGCCCCCGGCCGCTGAGCGTCTGGTGGTCTCCCGACAGCTCGGCCGGTTTCTGAACAGGGCTGTGCCTTTGCGTCTTACGGAGCCTGCAGGTGCAACAGCTGGTCCTGCGGGCACGGGGGGTGGGGGGCGTGGGGGGTGGAGGAGACTGCCTGAGCCGGAAGCGCCCTCTTCCCGCCAGGCCTACACGTTCGCGTCTCCCTTCTCTGCCACCTTCCTCGGCTGCCCTCACACCCATGTCCTGACACTGCTGTCTTCATCTAGCTGCCGTCACCTGGGCCACCTCGCGTGAGCTGCTGGTTTTAAGTTCAGGCTCTGCAGCTGACCTGGCCTGGGGACACGTCCTGGCCCTGCCCTTGAGCTCTGTCTCCTGGGCCGGGGCTCAGGTCCCCAGAGAGAGCAGGCATGGCTCACTGCTGTGCGGACGGAGAACCGCAGCTGCCCAGGGCAGCCTGAGGCCACAGGATGGGATTCATGAGCTGCCGCCGACCCTGAGCGCACAGCCCTTCGCAGTTGGCCCAGCCCGTCCACTTACCAGGCAACCAGAGGGCCGTCCAGCAGCTTAACTCAGGCCACACCCCCGCTTGGGGCTCCTTTGTGGCCTCCCTGTATTTACATTTGCTCCCAGCTCCACAGACGGTGGCCAGCTGGCCGGACACCTCTGTCCTGCCCTTCCCACCGCCCCCTGACGCAGACGCACCAGCCTTTGGCCTGGCCCTGAAAGCACCAGCGGCGTCCTCTG